CGACAGTTACGGTTGACGTAGGGGAGTTAAGTAAGTTGCGCACGCCACTCTGTGGGATGAAAGACAGACGTACAATGCCCCAGGCGAGTGGACGGATGTGTGGCCTGGAGTTCTTCTGTACGNAGCTGCGTATGACTTGATTTATTTTCTGGTGCTTTCATTTCCAGAGACAGCTGTACNCTTCCAACAGCCAACATGATAGCGTACAGCTTGCTTACAGCAGTAGCACCACCTACCTGTCCAAATGTCAACCCTTTCCTCTAATCGTGTACATGGATAGGTATAACCACACATCATAGATAGGTGCACACATAACCTAGCACCGTCGACAGTTACGGTTGACGTAGGGGAGTTAAGTAAGTTGCGCACGCCACTCTGTGGGATGAAAGACAGACGTACAATGCCCCAGGCGAGTGGACGGATGTGTGGCCTGGAGTTCTTCTGTACGTGTACAACGGTTCGGGTGGGGCAAGGCGTATCGAGGAGGAGTATGCACTTGCTGAGCGTTCGAACGATTCAAAATCCCCTTGTCCCATGGAGCCAAGTGTCTTCGAGCGAAGAAAGCCACACCTGTGAACAAAGCGATTTCCTCGAGAGGGGGAAACATATCGCATTGCTGCGCATGAACTCCCGTTGAGTACAAGCAGGTTTGCCGGCACTGCGACCGCACACTGCACCACGCCCGAAATACCGTTAAGTGCCTGCGAGCGAAGCGAGTCGGCCTNAAAGCCACACCTGTGAACAAAGCGATTTCCTCGAGAGGGGGAAACATATCGCATTGCTGCGCATGAACTCCCGTTGAGTACAAGCAGGTTTGCCGGCACTGCGACCGCACACTGCACCACGCCCGAAATACCGTTAAGTGCCTGCGAGCGAAGCGAGTCGGCCTGCACTGGGACCGCACACTGCACCACGCCCGAAATACCGTTAAGTGCCTTCGAGCGAAGCGAGTCAACCCGCACTGGGACCGCACGCTGCAACACGCCCGAAATACCGTGAAGGAAGTGTCTTCGAGCGAAGCGAGTTACGATGCCACACTCGCATTCACTCCACACCCATTATATCAACAACAAACACACCAAACCACTCTTATGTCTTTTTGAAATCAGTTTTGAACAATTCTCAACGGAGAGGGGCACACATGCGGACATGAGTTTTTTCTGGTTGGACCGCAAAATGTAACCAACCCTGAACAGGTTCGAGTTGACAGCAGCACGCTCTCCTGGAAGTATCAAGAAGAGCTCGAAGAAAATCATCATCACAGTAGTCAAGTCGCCCACGAGAAGTCGTTCTTCGGCAGGTCTCGCGTTGATGTATGTATGTAGACTTTGTATGGCACCTTACCTTTGACTTGCGTTATCAACAGTCGCATGTCTCGAATTTCAATATCTGGTGAGCTTCGAAGCCGGCAGCAGATTCTCGAGCTCGTGCTGCAGTATCCACCAATAGAAAGTATGTGAGGATAGCCATGCCCCGACTGGCCTCAAGCTGTGTTCAAGTGTTGAAGCCCCACTCAACATGCGAGTCCCAGACTAGCGCAGTGTTAAAGCTGCGCGTGCGAACCACATGTCATCTGAAGGTGTTGGTTGAAGTCCGCACTCTAGTTTCTGTGACGCCGGACGGTACTAAACAGGCTCCTATAGCCCTTGTTGGTGACCCGTACATAGCGACTGGAAGGCTAGCTTAAACCTCTGGTACCTCGTACTTCCCCGGGACAACTCAACCGGCCAACCTGTACCGAAGTACCAGCTAGAAGGCGGATCTCCTTGTGCCTGCTCGTTGGAAGAACCGTAACACCAAAAGTCACCGCGGCTGGTCAAAGGGTTACTTTATTTTTCAACTGCTGTACTACATGTAGCGGATGGGTCCAAGTTCACGATAACGCAGAGACCGGCGGCCTTGGAACGTTGTGCGCAGCGACGACAGCATGCGCTTTCGTCACAGACGTACGGACCTGGAGCTACAGAGAGGAGGTCAGGGACACGTACGTTGCGTTAGCCGAACCTTCCCAAAGGCTGGTTCTACGTAGCGCACCTGGGCTGACTTCGAGGTAACCCGAGTTGGCCTTCTTCTGGTCCATCTCCGTCTTCTTTCGCCGTGCAAGAAGGCTGACAGCCTTCATCGTCGTCCATATCGCGAGCCTACGAACACGTGCTGTTGGCGTGCTGCTATCTTGGTCGTCGAGACACAGAGAAAGGCCCAGTGTCTGCACGACAAACGATCAACTTGTGCAGGGGGCATCGTGTTATCGCAACAACCCTCCAAAAAGGGTGAGGGGAGCGCCTACTTACATTGTACAATCCATGGATTGTCAGAGAGAACCACAGTCCAAACATCCATCCCGGCGGAAACCCCGGGAAATCAATCGGGGCGTCCCCGAAGGGGTTCTCCTCCTACAAAAGCAACAGCTAGCTGTTCATCACGCGGCGGAGAGCCGTCTGAAGGTGGCAGCAGCGGCCCGTACGACCCACCCGACGCTGAGGATACCTAGGAGGCGCTAGGCCGCAGAGAAGAAGAACACGATGATGCAAGGGACGAGGAATATTATCCTGCATGGCTGTGGTGCACGGAGAAATCCACCCGCTTCCGGGAGAGAGCGCAGAGGACCAGTAGGCAGTGGCGACAGTTGGACGAGGCCAAGAGGATTGTAGGATGTCGGTGCGGGCAGGGTTCAGGTAGGGTTTAGTCGTGAGTGCCTCTTGTTCGCTGTACTTCGTCAGAAAGCGCTGTCAGATCCTCGATCATGATCTGCATTTCAAGGTACGCCCCGTGGGCGTGAATTCAAGGGAAAGATCTTGTTCCCAAAATGTAGGGCGGACAGTCGGGCGGTGGGATGCATGTGTCTGCCGTCATCCCACACACTTCTACTGTGTACCCGCAGCAGTCCGACTCATGCAAGAAGAACGTGTTGCAGGTTGCGTTATTCAGTCTACTGCGGTCACGTTCCTGCGGTCACGTTCCTGCGGTCACGTTCCTGCGGTCAAATTCGTTGACGTTCACGCCCTAACCATTGTCGTCGTGGGTACATAACTATCGATATTTCCCAGAAAAAACGGCATCCTTCACTTCAAAGCGAATTACTGAATATTCTGACCCCGACGTCAAATCAAGGAAACCACGGAAACACCACTGCGTTGGTACACGGGGCGCAAACAGGGACATGGGCAGAACGACAACAACATCTCCAGGCATCGTTTCGTTCGCACCACCTGCTCAGAACATGCAGGTCGACAACCACAGACGCATAAATTGGAACCCAGAAAAAGAACATCCAAGCGCGATTCGATGATAGACTGCCCCAAACAATAAAAACGAACTTGGAGACAATCCAACACGGCCACAAAAGGGACAGACGAAGAAGGAGAGAATAAGGAAATCGAACAAAAGGAAGAAAAACAGGACAGGAACAGGATGGTCCCATCGAACGCTACACCGCAGCAACACAACAGACAAACACCAAACAAATGGCTTGGGACAATAACATCACAGACGGCGATCGGCACAATAACGATGAAGCGAAAAGGAAACATCACACCGAGCATTAACCAGCCGCTGGGTGGGGGGGGGGGACAACACATGGTACAGGCACATGCACCGGTGACGTCGTAAATGTAGGGCGGCCGCTACGGTATGTACTCCGAGTATGCAAAAATGAAACTGGGGTTGGGACCCTGAAGTCGCGGCTCTCTTGCTACCCCCTCTGGTGATTTTTCTGCGGCACCACGTCGTCTTTTATTACTTGTCCTGGCGGGCAGGCGAACAGTACCAGAGTTGGCCATGAAGAGAGCCGCCCCCCGGCCTCCCGTCGTTGTAGCACCTGCCCCGCCTGCTTGCACATTGACCGTCGCCAGAAATTGGTCAACGCGGGCTACGGCCACTGTCGGTGAAAACTTATCAGACAAAATACTCGCGGCTTGCCCGAGCTTCTTCGTTACGTTGGCATACACCACTTGTCTATCCTGGTCCGTGGGTCCCTTCTCCTTCAAATCCAAGACGACCGTCTGCACCGTCTGGCTGCTCCNCCCCCCCCCCCCATCCCTCTCTCTCTCCCGCCGCCCCGTCCACTTCTCCTGCCGCGCCTTCAAAGCCCTCCTTTGCTCCCGCTGTCGACGCGTGGCGGTCGGATATCACCCATCGAGGCCGGGCGACATCCGGCCAGTCATGCAGCGGTGTTCCCCTCGCCTTTTCCGTCAGCCAGTGCTCGTGCAGGAGGCCGACGTGGAATCGGAATCTGGGGCTGTGCATCATCGCCGCCCACACTTGGCGACAAAATAGCCCAAGAGTTTGGAGTGTGCGGCACTGGCAGAGATGGCTAACGTCGGAAAAGAGCAAGACGAGGTAGTCGAAGGTCCTGAAAATCATCACGATGTTCGCGAATCCCGAAGACGTAGATGACGTCGCAAAGCTTGTCTTCGATGTGCTCGAACGTGCGTCTCGAAGCTGCCGCGCGTTCTGGTCCATCCACCTCCCCCCCATCCATCTGGCAATACATGATGGCCGCGGTCATCTCTTGCTCCATTAGCCGCCGCGGCCAGGCCGCGATGGAGAATTCGCAGGACTCCAAGACACTTTTTAAAGCGGTCGTGGGTGGAGTCGCCATTCGAGCAGGCGGCAGGTGGTCGATAGCGTCACGCAGCGCGGCTGCATCCTTCTGGGAGCATATGATTCCCGAAAAGTACTTCGCCATGTCCAAAAGCGAAGAGCGAGAGTTGCACTTATCTTTGATGAGGGCGTTTTGGCCTGTTGCGCGTGCGGCGGACCAACACGCAAGAGGCAACACACCAACCGTGGGTTAGTGATTTGTGTCATCATACACCGTCCCTAGTCGTCGGAGGGCAACCACTGAACGACAAGACTATGACATGGACAGAGTGTTTGGCGCCCCCATGGCGACGTATGTATGTACACGCGAGCCGGACGATAACAGCGCAAAGAAGAAAAAAAAGTGCAATGAAGCACATCAATTCCGGACCAACAGGGTCCGGACTACAGCCAGATGTTTCGAAGAGGTGGTAAAGATTAGCGGCATGTAGGGCAGTGGTTTCCTGAAGAAGCACCCATCAATGTCAGAGTACATGGGGGCCACTCAAGCAGGATAGCCACCCCCAACCCCAACAGACGTAGAACGACCCCCCAAAACAACGACAACACTACATGCGCTGTCGTTCTCGAACAAAACGCTCATGGCAGATGACGCATGAACGCACCTTCAACTCTTGATGTCGTCCACGAACCCACGGAGAATACCAGAGGCGACACATATTCTGCCCACCGCGTGCGGTCGTCGTATACCGCTCGCATATACTTCTCCGTCTGCGGGTACTTGGCGATGAGGGCGTTGAACTTCCTTTCGAACTTCGCCAGTGACAGCTGCTGACGCACACACCTGAACTCGTCCATGAAAGCCTACGCAAAGCACGAACAGACAGGTCGTCCGAGGAACCAGGTAGGCAGAGTGGGCGTTGCGTGAGTTAGGGCCTCGGCGCATGAGCTACCGGCCTGTGCGATTGACTGCCAACACCAACCCCGTACAATTCGTTAGCGCTAAGGTGAACGAGACGAGAAGAAAAAGGGACACGGGGTTGAAAAAGGTCAGCGACAGACCATTTGTGTTTACGACCTGCTGCTGCTGCTGTTGCTTTTTCTGTGGGCACGGGACGCGCCTATTGTACGCAACGACGCTGGAAATCACTCTTCCAAGTAGACGGCAACGCTACTGACCCATGATAACGTACGAACTTGCACAGGGGTTAGGACAGGGGATACAAGTGGTAGTGTGTTTGGGGGGGGGCTAGAGTGTGCAGCGTACGTCGCGCGACCAGGAGACCAGGAGAGGCCAGACTAACCATGCCAACACACACGGTAGAGCACACCTTCATCTGCCCGCCAAGGTCTTTAGCGAGGGTCTTCATGATGTTTTGGTGGAGGTGCCATAAGCAGCGCCTCCACAGCGCGTCCGGGAACACCTCGCTCACCGCCGCCGTCATGGCCACATCCGCGTCCTGGATGTAGATATCTGGCTACTTTCCCCCGCGAGACCTCAACGCACTCTTCAACACCCACACGAAAGTGTTCGTTGTGGTGTCCGCCGTTATGCTTTGGCCGACGATTCGCGTCCGATACTCCGAATCGATGACGGCGAGCACGCCGAGGGGCATGCGGTACCTGTTCTTGACGGCGGTGTCGTCGTACAGCGTAACGTGACCGTACCCATTCCAAAGCGCCACCTGCGTATTCGGAGCATGACGTGGAAGGGGGTCGAGAGCACTTCATCGTGGGTGTGACGTGTGTTCGACGCATCACAACGCACCCGCACATCGGCACCCTTGCCTACGTCCTGCTCTCAGTCAGACGTTCTGCATTTGCGGACGGCCAAGTGGTACGTGCGACACGATGACAAAATGAAAGCAAACCATTTCCCGCAGGGGAGTATTAGTTTGGGGCACGACGACCGGCGACGTACCTGCTCTCTCGATTGCCACCAGATATGCGTCAGGCGGCCGCTGTCATCCATCTTGATCTCGCACACTCCGCCGTCGGCAGTGACGGCCATGACCTGGAAGTGCATCGTGATTTTTTAACAACCCACAACATGCCAAGCGCCCGGAAATGTCGAGGGCGTCAACAATAAACGGACAACATTTCTTGGTTTGGTGTCACGGCACATATTCTCTCGAGTACCACAAGCGATAGTGTGTGTAAAGTCGCCCGGTTACCGCCCCGAGCAACAAACAACATCCCACACACGAGAGGCAACAGTCTCAACGGGAACATGGACATACCTCTTCGTATGCATCGGCAGCACCCCTCGGTTCTCCGCCCCATGCACACTGGCAGCCGCGTTCTGCACCGCGCGCCTGTTGATCTCGATGTCGCTGTCCTCGTGTAACGCCTGCATTGCTTAATGCACAGCTTTGGGCTTCATCCCTTTACCTGCGCCGTATAGTAAAACCGGGAGCAAAATCAAGTCGTGTGTCATCGAACGCCCGCTAGCAACGTGTAGGTGACAACAGCGCTACGCTTCAAGGGCTGTTCGTCATTCGATATCGTGACAACCGACCGCGACAAACCGTGGGGCACGACGGGAGATACTTTAGACCTACCCCCAACGCGTTCAATGTCCTCACTTGTCATCTTCTCCACTTGTCCCAGCTGCTCCTCCGTTAGCTTTCCGGCGAGGCGGAGCTTCACGGCCATAGCCTGGCGGACGACTACGTGGTTGTGCCCGAGCTTCAAGTTGATAAGCTCGGGCCGAGGGTGGGACTTCGCGTGCCGGACGCTAACCTGAATGAACGGAAGGGTGGGTCCACAAAAAAGGAGAAATAACTAAAGGATGGATTCGTGGGATATAGGTGTGAATTGGAATACAACATGGATCACAAGACACCAGACCGCCCCCCCCCATTTTCAAATCCGCAGTTCGGAAATCCATTTCAATTAATCTCGCGCTCGAATACCTCCGCCAACTGTTCGAACATTTCTCGGTCCACTGCAACAAAACATGTTCCGTGGGAGACCCGCACCTACCTCAAACTCACAACCAGTCCTCGCGCTTCCCTTCCTGTTCTGCCGTATTACCCCAGGTTCTGCAACACGCAGCGATATGGGAGACGAAGTGACGGCAGTGTGTCATGTATGAACCTGCACCGAAGCATGCATGCTTACAATAGGCTTTCCCGCGACTCGCCCCGTTGTCGTCGCCTCAATCGTTTTCCTACCAAGCCCAAGTGCTACGGATGAAACGCTTACCGGTGTCAAGCCTGGCTTCGTATTCCAGTTGCCGGCTACCCCCGCCTCGAGTACAAATCAGCTTCTTCATGTCCACACGATCCGTTCCACCGTCACAACACCTCGTCGACTTCGCGGTAGAAAGGAGAACCCCTTCGATGGCGCACGTTCTCACCACCTCCTCCACCACGTCTTTAAGTGTCTTTCCCTCCGTCTGCACTGCCTCCAGCTCAGCCGGGTCGTTCACCTAGTGTTCAAGCCACAATACGACGGGTTAGACAACGGCACGTGGTTCGGGGTGTCGAGGATTCTACAGCAGTGGGGCACCGGCACACAAATACCCGAAGTGGATCACTGTACAAAAGCAACGAGCAGGCGAATGCACCGGGCAAGTAACACCCCGGCCAAACAAAACATGCATCGTCGTTGGCCCATGCCATGGTGGCCCCCCCGTCGTTCGTCAGGGTGCAACACTACGCGCATTGTCACCTGCGTCTCCGGCGGAGGGCTGGTGGTAAACATCGGATGCTGTTGTTGCTGTCCGGGGTGGGCTTAAGACTGGGGAGCCGAAAGAAGCTCCCGCGCGCCAGCAAANGTAACACCCCGGCCAAACAAAACATGCATCGTCGTTGGCCCATGCCATGGTGGCCCCCCCGTCGTTCGTCAGGGTGCAACACTACGCGCATTGTCACCTGCGTCTCCGGCGGAGGGCTGGTGGTAAACATCGGATGCTGTTGTTGCTGTCCGGGGTGGGCTTAAGACTGGGGAGCCGAAAGAAGCTCCCGCGCGCCAGCAAAGGAAGCACCGGAAGCACCGGAAGCACAGCCAGGGGCCGGAGTCCCCAACGGTAGAGCAGTATCAGGTGGACGCATGGCCTGTCGACCGCACGCGAAACCCACCACACGGCGGAGGGGCAGAAAACCGTATCAATTGTTGATCATAAGACAACGTTTCGCCGTCACCTGGTGAAGCATACGTACATGCATACGTAAACAGCGAACCGTACGTGCACGCGTTCAATTGCACCAGGCATGGCACAGCAGGTAAGACCTGTTGGCATGCTACACCCGCAGAAACAACGGGAAGGCCTGTACAGGGCTCCTTGATGTGGACGGGGTGAATGCCAGGGACCATTACTATTGGCATGCGGGCCATGGGGGAACAGCAACAGCATGCCATGGGGGAACAGCAACAGCAACAACACGCAAAGCATAGCACGCAAAAAACGAGATGAGGTCACGCCAACAGCACGTGACAAACACCAACACGTCTCACCTGCGTTTCCGGCGGAGGGCTGGTGGTGAACATTGGCTGCTGTTGTTGCTGTCCGGGGAGGGCTTGGAGAGGGTAGACAGGAAAAGCTCCGGCCGCGCCAGCAACGGGGGCACCGCCAGAGGTCGGCAGAGCAGCACTACATGTCATGTAGATGGAAGAATGCCTACCAACGACACCGCACGGCATGACACGGGTCCCACGACACGAGCATGGCGGGTAGACACATGGCGCAAACGGGTTAGGCAAATGCGTGCACATGACCCAGCACTAACACCAGCCCAGTAGCCACCACCATCGCCCAGCAGCAAACAAGGACGATAGAAGTACTCCGAAGTACACGACAAGGACGCGCGTATACGTACACACAACCAGGTAGGGCCTGGCCGCGCCTGGCCTGACCACACTGCTGTGTGTATGTACAAGATAACCAGCTGGGTCACATAACCGATGCAGAGCCCACAGGCACATGATGACAAATGTACGAACGCACGAAGGAAAGCACAGGTACACGAGCAGCAGCGACAGCGTTGGGGAAGCAGCAACAAAACACAGAGAGAGTGAGACACACGGCGGTGCGGCCGTTGCTACTGCATTTCAAAACACATCACAGCAGCACGACAGAGGGTGAGGCACAGATACATGTCTGCATCTCACCGGTAATGGCGTTGTGTATCGCCCCCTCCTCTTGCTCTGAGGCCTAGCGCCTCCTCGGTATCCCTAGCGTGCGAGTGGGTCGTACGGGCCGCTGCTGCCACCTCCAGACGGCTATCCGCCTCGTGATGAACAGCTGGCTGTTGCTTCCTTTGCTGGAGGAGGAGGAGAACCACTTCGGGGACGCCCCGGCTGGTTTCCCGGGGTTTCCACCGGGATGGATTTTGGACTGTGGTTCTCTCTGACAATCCATGGATTGTGTATAGGCGCTACAAGCTGGGCCAGCCAAGAAGTCAACGAAATGGTTAGAAGCGATTTCCGAGCCGGTTTTTACGAATTGGAACCTGGAATTGTGATATGTGATTGGAAACAGTCTTACAAACGCCCCCGAGTCAGATGCCGTTTTTTTTTTTTGGCGAGGTATCCCTATATTCAATAACTGAGAATCCTAGCATAGGGGTTTTTGTGGCTTAAAAAAAAAAAACGGCATCTCACTCGGGGGCATTTGTAAGACCACTCCTAATCACATATCAAAATTTCAGGTTCCAATTCGTAAAAACCGGCTCGGAAATAGCAAATTGCGTCATGACCTCGATACCTGGGTGCAGGGGCGGAAATTGTGTAGGAAAATGAAGGCCTTACAGCCCGAGAAAAGGGGCGCGAAAGCGGCCTGATGGCAAGAGGCGCACAGATGCTGACTGTACCCCTTTGGTTGGACAGGTAGGTGTGGGTGCTTATCGATCGTAATGACGTGACACACATACATGCAAGAGGTTGTAATCTGAAGGTAAGCGCTCCAAAAACGCATGACAAATGTTTTGCACAAATCGCACAAAAAAGTTGACGTTTCTTTGTACATAAAAAAAAACACTTCGTTCATTGATTGACAGCGGTTCAAAAACACCCGCTTATCTAAAAACAACGTTCAAACTGACAGACTCATCAACACACACACACAACTTCTCGCACCGGTTAATCTTACAGAAAAAAANCAACTCGAGACGCCCCCCCCTCGCCATCGGCCGGCCGACGTTGTTACTGGTCGCCAAGAAAACTAGTTTCCATGTCCAAAATGTTGCGGTGGGCCTTTTGGATCTTGCGCATCTTCTCGATGAACTCCTTGTTCCTGATGACTACCCCGCGAAGCGCAATCTCGCGGTAAGCCCGGCAGTAGTCTCGTGTTCGCCGGGCAAAGCGCCGCACCCGACCGATTGTCAAGTACTTGTCTATGCACAGCGACTTTTCGATGTTGTCGTGCAAGTGCTTCGGGACCTCATCATCGATCTTCCGCCGAAACTTCGGCTTCGAAAACCCCCACGAGTACTCGATCCCTACCCCCGCTACCTCCGGGTGACACTTCGGAGACGACAAAAGAATGTGTCCCCTACTCTCTACCAGGTGCTGCAGGGCTGTCCTCTCATTCTTAAAGTCAGGCAAGGCTTGCAGAACCTTTTCCACGTGCATATCGTCACGGACTCCCGCCCCTGTTGACATGCCGTCCTTCCACCACCCACGCTCCCACAGGTACTGCCTGACCCCTTTCGCTTTCCCCTCGTACCCTTCCTTGACCTTCCCCTTCGCGTTCTTCTTGTCTTTGCGCGGAGCGTCCCATTCGAAAAACGGAGGAGGCGCACCTACCGCGAAAGTGCTAGTCTGAGCCTGGCCCATCGTCAGCTTCTGGTCAACACACTCTGCCCCCTCGCTGAACTTCGTGCTCTACCTGCCGTTGGCGAAGTACATTTTCGCCTCCTCCGGACCCAAGCACCCCTCCGTCATGACCGAATCCCGCAACACCTTTTGCTTCCCCCCATACTTGACGTTCATGTTCGATACATGCAAACCATCCTCTCGCTGCTTCCCATGGCCCGACGAGTGGTCGACCTCGAACACTATTTGCATGTCGGGGTCGATGTGCTCCAAGACGTCCATCACGTCTTCGACCTGTTCTTCGAACTGGTCGTAGCTCCAGTACCCATCCTTGCCTTTTCCGTATTCAAGAAACCGGAGTCCAGGGTTTCACGTCAGGGTTTTTTTGCCGTTCCTTTCCTCCTTGCGTTTGGCGTTCACCGCCGCCAGGTCGGCATCCGAAATAGGTAAGCCGAAACCGTGTCTTTCGTCCTGAAAACCAGACACCATTTCCCCCGGCCCCTCCGTCTTTTTCCGCAGTCCGCGCACCCCTCGAATCACCCACTCTTTGCCCTCGCGTGCATACGCCTTGTAGGCACTCTCGTCCTGCCCAATGTGGTGCACCTTCTTGCCGCATCTGCACTTGGTTCGGGGGGTGGAAATACTCGCATTGGGCAGCAGCGGCCTGGTCGAAGCGAACGCTGTAGTCCCCACCCTCTGGACCAAGTGAGGCGCGGAGCTTGTCGAAGTTATCGACGGAGCCGTCGTCGCGCAGGAGATCTATGCAGCATCGGCGGCAGCTCCAGCGGCGACGGCGGCGATCTCCGGTCGCAGTGTTCCCCCCGCGGCGGCAGCGGGGGGAATGGCCGGGGTCCCCGCGGGNAGGAGACCACATGGAACTTTTTGTCGATTCGGACTTCGCCAACAAGGCAACCGACCGGCGGTCTGTTTCTGGGGCACTAGTGATGTTCGCTGGTGCGTGTGTGATGTATCTGTGTAGGACGCAGAAGAGCGTCACCCTGTCTTCGACGGAAGCGGAGTACGTGGCGATGTCTGATGGGATGAAGGAGGCTATTTTTCTGCGGTATCTGTGGAAATTTATCTTTCCGGGCTGTGATGTGGANGGAGGACAACGTAGGCGCTATTCACTTGGCAAGTAACCCGGCTACTACTCCCAACTCGAAGCACATCGACATCCGCCACCATTTCATCCGTGAGCGTGTAGCACGGGGGGAGTTCAAGGTAGTCCACGTACGGTCGGACCTGCAACGCGCGGATTTCTTGACCAAACCGCTCCCCAAGGAGACTTTTTGCGCGCATCGTGACTTCGTAATGAATATTCGTTGATTTTGTTCTTTGTGTTGCACTACTTCAGCGATGGGGCCTTTCTTGCATCATGTGTTTTATTTGTGACCTGGTACTGGCCGTTGATCTGCTGCTCCNAGATGGGCCGGGGCCGGGGATATTTGCTCTTCTAGCCACGGAGGACGAGATCAAGCGGTCTATCGCCGAGCTTCCTGCACCGGGCAGCCAGCCCTGCCGGCGGGGCTGGTATGCGACCTGGAGACGCCTGAGACATACGGGAAGGCGCACGCGGAGCCCCACCACCACATCTGGACCAACGCCGAACGCAAGGAGTTTTTCGGGCTGAATGCAGTGGGCACCTTCGAGTAGGTCGGGGCGGAATAGCAGCGGGGGACGAACGTCATCTATCTCCGCCAAGACGCAGAAGAGCGTCACCCTGTCTTCGACGGAAGCGGAGTACGTGGCGATGTCTGATGGGATGAAGGAGGCTATTTTTCTGCGGTATCTGTGGAAATTTATCTTTCCGGGCCGTGATGTGGGGTGCACGCCGGTGTGGGAGGACAACGTAGGCGCTATTCACTTGGCAAGTAACCCGGCTACTACTCCCAACTCGAAGCACATCGACATCCGCCACCATTTCATCCGTGAGCGTGTAGCACGGGGGGAGTTCAAGGTAGTCCACGTACGGTCGGACCTGCAACGCGCGGATTTCTTGACCAAACCGCTCCCCAAGGAGACTTTTTGCGCGCATCGTGACTTCGTGATGAATATTCGTTGATTTTGTTCTTTGTGTTGCACTATTTCAGCGATGGGGCCTTTCTTGCATCATGTGTTTTATTTGTGACCTGGTACTGGCTTTTGATCTGCTGGTCGATGTTGATTTCTGCTTTCTTTCGCGATGGATGGGATAGTTCTGCGTGAGAATCATGGGGGGGGAAGTATTGTTCCATGATCCTAGTCGCAGGTGGTTTGTCTTGGTTTTGATTTTTTCGAGATGAATGATGCAGCAGGGGGGCTGTTGGATTGATTANCGCATCGTGACTTCGTAATGAATATTCGTTGATTTTGTTCTTTGTGTTGCACTACTTCAGCGATGGGGCCTTTCTTGCATCATGTGTTTTATTTGTGACCTGGTACTGGCTTTTGATCTGCTGCTCGATGTTGATTTCTGCCTGCTTTCGCGATGGATGGGATAGTTCTGCGTGAGAATCATGGGGGGGGAAGTATTGTTCCATGATCCTAGTCGCAGGTGGTTTGTTTTGGTTTTGATTTTCGGGATGAATGATGCAGCAGGGGGGCTGTTGGATTGATTGATTGATTAATTTGATTTTGACTTCATGCTCAGGATGGAATTGATGTTACAGCAGGGGGGCTGGTGGATGGAGTGGTTTCTTTGTCAAGGTATTGGATGTCGGAGAGAGGGTTTGGGATCTGCTTGTAATTTGAACTGGCCATTGAGCTGAAACATGAACATTTATGTGAGGANGGGGGCTGTTGGATTGATTGATTGATTAATTTGATTTTGACTTCATGCTCAGGATGGAATTGATGTTACAGCAGGGGGGCTGGTGGATGGAGTGGTTTCTTTGTCAAGGTATTGGATGTCGGAGAGAGGGTTTGGCATGTTCTTGTAATTTGAACTGGCCATTGAGTTGAAACATGAATATTTATCTGAGGCATGAATTTGTTCTGAGTAGTCAGGACGTAAGACACGCTTTCCCGGAGTTACCCGTCCTCCCCGTTCTGACGTGATTCTGATGTAATGTTGATCTTTTTGCTGCGTATTTTTCCAAGGGTGATTGTTCGTGTTACGACTGCTTGAGAATTGGGTAGAGCACTTTTCTCGAGAGGGTGATTTGTTTTTCTTAACAGACCTTTTAGAGGTAGAAATTTGACATCAAAAAGGTTTGAAAGCTTTGCGGGACGTGTTCTGCAGGAAGATCCGGCGATTTCGTGGGACATTTTCTGTTGGCAGAGTCGTTTGGATTGGAATGAATGGTGGATGATTTATTGTTAGCATAGGGGTTTTGGTTTTTCTGTCTGCCGTTTTGTCTGGCAATGATAGTCGTGTCGGGTATTTCGTAGATCGTATCTCGTACCGAGCAGGGGGGCTGTTTGGGGTGTTCGGCAGAGTATACTGTCTACGGGGCCTCCGGGGGGTACGCGGATGGAATGTATTGACGGACATGCTGCATGGCGATGGTGTGGCCTACCGCTTGTCTCTCACGCTCTAAGCAACAAGGTCTTGAGTCAACCTTCTTTCTCTTTCGGCCTCTGACGAGCTACCGCACCCAAACACACACCTTAGATCGTAAGAAAAAGCTCTGTTTCAGGCGGATCGTTTGATCTGAGCAGATTTTTTCTTATTTTTTGTTGACGAGAAAATGGCGATTCCGTCGAGATTTTGCCAGATTTTATTACGTTTGCTCGAGTGTGAAGTCTAATTTTTTTCTCAAGACCGGTTTTGAGCGTATCTCGTCGAGGGGTACGCGGCGACCCAACTGAACTTTTTTTTCGCTGAGATATCACGGAGAAACGGGCAAAAAACCTCATTCCAGGTGGCCTTAGAGTTATTTTTGTTGGTGAGAAACGCACCGATAGGTTTCGAAAAACTCTACGGATTCTCGGGCGAATTGGACCTGCACCCAGGACCGTTTTCCTTTTTCGAAAAAAGTTTTTGAAGGAGATGTGGTCGGTCGAAGTTTGGTGTGCTCACACACCACACACATCACACGACACACCATACAGCACACCACACAGCAGTCCCATAGACCCCACCGAGGGCCCACCCAGGCCTATGATACTTGAACATGCCTGGGCGCGGGCGTCCTCCCGGTCCCAAAAAGAAGGCTGGCAGCTTCCAAACACGAGCAGCAGCTGGCCGGTTCGGCGGGAAAAAAGCGGACCCTCCCCCACCACTCGCTGCGGACACTCCACCACAACATGACAACGACACATGCATACATGTTGTGAAGGAGACGAAGAGGAGGACCACAGCAGCAACAGCAGCAGCCGGCACAGCAGCGATAGTGTATGTACATAATCCTAAGACTAGGTGAAAATAGTTTTTTTTTGCGAAAAGAGTGGCCCGTATAGGGGTACGCTTTTTGTTTTGCAAAAAAAAAGGTGTTTAGAGGGATCGTGTGTGGATGTATGTTGTTGTTGTTGTTGTTGTTGTTGTTGTTGTTGTCTTCACATTAAAAGCCATCTCGGTCTCTCTATCCAGTACCTCCTTCTGTCTCAATCTCTCCGTACTAATCCACCACTTGACTCGGTCAATTTCCGTGGTCACAGGCTAACGTACCTAGAAA